TGTTGGTATGCTTGATTGAATTATTTAATGTTGCATGCTGTGATTAAATATTTTTGTTGGTGGTTGTGATTATTTATTTTGTTTGCTTGTTGTTCTGGATTTTGTTTTCTGTTTGTTGTGTTGCTGTTGGAAAAAATAGTAGAAAGAATAATTCTTTGAATTCTCCTTTTACTATTTTTTTTTGAATTCTCCTTTTACTATTTTTTGGGGGGGGGGGGGGGGGGGGGGGGGGGGGGGGGGGGGGGGGGGGGGGGGGGGGGGGGGGGGGGGGGGGGGGGGGGGGGGGGGGGGGGGTGGGGTGGGTGGGGGTGGGGGGGGGGGGGGGGGGGGGGGGGGGGGGGGGGGGGGGGGGGGGGGGGGGGGGGGGGGGGGGGGGGGGGGGGGGGGGGGGGTGGTGGGGTGGGGGGGGGGGGGGGGGTGGGGGGGGGGTGGTGGTATGTGGTGATCGACTGCATGAAGAGGTTGCGAAGGGATGCGAAGGGGTGGGGGTGGGTGGGTGGTGGGGTGGGTGGGGTGGGTAAGGGTGGGGGTGGGTGGGGTGGGGTGGGGTGGTGGGGGTGGGTGGGGTGTGGGTGGGGGTGGTAGGTGGTGTGGGGTGGTGGGTGGGGTGGGTGGGTGGTGGGGTGGGGTGGGGTGGTGGTGGGGTGGGGTGGGTGGTGGGGTGGGGCAGGGTGGCAGGGTGGGTGGGTATGGGTGGTGGTGGGTGGCAGTGGGGTGTGGGTGGGTGTGGGTGGGTGGGTGGGTGTGGTGGGTGGGTGGGTGGGTGGGTGGTGGGTGGGTGGGTGGGGGTGTGGGGGTGTGGGGGTGTGGGGGTGTGGGGGTGTGGGGGTGTGGGGGTGTGGGGGTGTGGGGGTGTGGGTGGGTGGGTGGGTGGGTGGGTGGGTGGGTGGGTGGGTGGGTGGGTGGGTGGGTGGGTGGGTGGTTGGGTGGGTGGGTGCGTGCGTGCGTGCGTGCGTGCGTTGCGTGCGTGCGTGTGTGTGTGCGTGCGTGCGTGCGTGCGTGTGTGTGAGTGAGTGAGTGTGAGTGAGTGAGTGAGTGAGTGAGTGAGTGAGTGAGTGAGTGAGTGAGTGAGTGAGTGAGTGAGTGAGTGAGTGAGTGAGTGAGTGAGTGTGTGTGTGTGTGTGTGTGAGTGAGTGTGTGTGTGTGTCATTCTGTGTGCGCGCATGTGTGGCTCTGTCTTTGTCTCTGATTGTGTTTTTGTGTCTGTGCTTGTGCTTGTGCGTGTTTCGTGGGTATGGGTGTGGGTGGGTGGGCGGGTGGGCGGGTGGGTGGGTGGGTGGGTGGGTGTTTGTTTGTTTGTGTGTGTGTGCGTGTTTGTGCGCGTGTTCTCTGTCTGCTTGTCTGCGTCTGCGTGTCTGGGTGTCTCGGTGCCTGTGTGTATGGAGTGTAGGTGTCTGCATCTGTGTGTCTGCGTGTCTACGTGTCTGCTTGTCTGCTTGTTTGCGTGTTTGGGTGTCTGTGTGTCTGTGTCGTTGTGTCTGTGCGTCTGTGTGCCTGTGTGTCTGTTTGTGTCTAAGTGCGTGCGTGCGTGCGTGCGTGCGTACCTGCGCGCGTGCACGTGTGCCACGTGCAGCTCAGGCTGGGTCGGGCAGGCCGTCAATCCCGGCCCCTTCTCACGCCGCCCTCCCCTCGCCCTGTACCCCAAAACCAAAAAACAACCTAATTCTCAATGGCGTTGTCGTATTTCTTGACGGCTTCAAGACGCAGAAGCAAGCTGTCGCTTGCGCCGAAAAGACAGCCCAACTTGAATTCGTCAAGCCCCAGTGTTTTTCGTTTCCGTGCCCCTGCCCCCCCCTTCCCGAAACACTGAAATCACAGATCGCAGCAACCCTGCCGTGTCTTCTTGGCAGTATACAGTGAAGAAGCAGTGAAGAGCACCTGTCGTCGCAATTGACTCAGCGTCTGCCGTCGTCACAAGTGACGAAGAATCGTCGTCGCAAGCGACGCTAGCCGATCTTACCATGCGTACCAACCAGCCCACGTTGTTTTGCAGCGCGAGCATTTCAACATGACATGCACAAGCCCAATGCGCTTTTGCAGCTTGTACAAAAAGCGCAGCCAAGGAGCTGGCATCCGGCTTCTCGACTCAAAGGGAGGGCAGGGCTGGGAGAGCGTTGCTTTCAGCAAACCGAGGCTTGCGACTGGACCGCTCAAGCCAACAGCCGGTCCCGTGCCGTGGCGGCATTTACAGATTGGGCCAAAAACATCGCGGTTTGATTTGGGATGGCTTGGTGGTCTCAAAGAACTGAGAGACCACTGTTCTGCCCTCTACCCATTTGTTCGATGTGATGCGGGCCTTAAACCGACCGTTCTCTTCATCATCTACCTGAGCATGACGCCTAGGTGCGATGGCAATGACGACAGCAAGGCACCTGAGTTTGGGTGTGTCTTTTTCCGGACAGCCCCCCCCAAAACAGCGGGTGTTCCTCTTGGTCCTTTAAAACCACCAAAAATGGGGTAACGACACAGCCACATGTGGCTCATGGTCAAAACCAATGGGATCCCATTTTGGGGTAGGTGCACCACCCATGTTCGTCTATTTTATCTTGATTGGGATGTTCACTGAGGGGTACGATTTGGATTTTGACCCATGGCCATGTCTCCACTCCACCTCCCGAGTCGCCCCCCCCCCCCCCCCACCAGGCGCTGCCGCTGAAGGTGCAGCTGGAGTTGCTGGAACGCCTGGCAAAGCAGCGCCTCACCCACGCCCGCACCGCGGAGGACATGGAGGTGCGAGAAAAGAAGAAGAATTTGATGACCCCGGATTAAGCAGAACCCCTGTTTCTTAATAGGAGGGGTAGTTTTATCACCTTTGGAAAAGCCGCCACCCCCATATGAATAAACAGGGGTTTATTTTACGGGGTCAACATTGCCACGGATCTGGAGGAGATGCTTCTCGAATTCAACCAATAAAAACCCGCCAAGGAATTAGTTGAGGAAAATACTCCGAGCAGTTCTCCTTACCTTGCATTGGTACTTTAATCATCTCTTTTTTACATTTGCATGTGGAGAAGTGATTTGTCCATCGTCTCCTGAGACTTCGGAACATGAACAAGCCATATATTCTGGCGCGGTGCTTATCTTTGCTGCCTTCCAAGATTGGGAAAATTGGGCCAGTACCTACTTCGTGCTACTTGCAGTCAAGTCGTTCCAGCGGCTCATGGCAGGTGAATTTGAAACATAGGCCTTGAGCTTTCTCAGGCCGTGGATGCTGTTTCTTGATTTTACCTGGTTGCTATCTCTGGATTTCACCCTGAGTGTTTTGGCTGGAAAGACGGCCTTTGGGCGATGTCCGAGTCAAATGCTCGCGCAGGCGGCAAGACAGACTCGCTTCGGCTTTAGAAAGCAGCCACTTGGCTGGAGCTCGCCTTTGGTGGCCAGGAAGCATCAAGCAGTTTGGGGGTCAAAGGCTCAAAGGGAGTGTAGCCACACAAAAAAATTGGCGGCAGTGTCTATGATTTCCCATACCGATGCCCTCGCTTACGATGTCACAATTGTGCCAGTGACTTCAAAAGAGTCGTGCCAGTGACTGCCAGCGTTGGCTGCACTTTGCAGAGACAGATGCTTTATCTGAGACGGCGCAAACATGACGGCACACACACGTGCCGTGTCCAAGGCGATGATACATTTTCCTCCACTTCCGAACTTCCGCCAGAGAGTTGTGAAGTGTTTCTTCATCGCTGAGACAGCACGCCTGGATGTCAAGCCGGCTGCGTAGTGATTTGTTCCAGCTCAGCAGTGCTTTGCTCGAAGGTCTCACAATGGAATCTACCCCTGCTTGGACGCAGAGCCTGACACGACTCGACGCGGGGACTTTAGTGAAGGCATGTTAGGCCGTAGCCCTTGGTTTAGACCCAAGCAGATGAACAGGGTGATCCACTAGCCAGGTGCATTGCCCACCATGTCGCTCTCGTCCAAGCAGAGCTGCCAGTTTTTTTCCTGCACGCTTGAGGCGAATTTTGGATTTTGCTTCCACTCAAGTGTGTGGCGTTTGCAAAGTTTATGCACGCGCACAAGCTGGCAGCGCGTTCTGCGTGATTTTTTCATGTAGACGACAACTGCCTCCAGGTACTTTGTGCGTTCCAGCAATGGTGGGGCTGGACGGCTTTGGGGCAGATGTCGGTGTGGGCAATGTGTGAGGGGAAGCGGCAAGGCTGCCCAAAGATGCTCGAAAGAGTCATTTACATGTATTCTGCTTGAACAGCTGGTCGACCTTGTCATGTCCTTTCACACTTCGCCGTCGACAAACTATTTTTAAACGATGTGCGCCGACTTGCTACTTGATGTTACAGTGCACAAGTGGTACTCATTGGGAGAATGCACCTAATGTTCAACTCGGTGCCTCCGTTTGACAGCCGGATGCATTCCGCACATGCGGACGGTTCCCGGCTGCCTGCCCTCGTACTGTCGTTCTCCTGGCAGTACTCGAGATTCCCAGCCAAAAGTCTGACGAATCGGATAGTCCCCATAGTTGCTTCCTTCGGCACATGCGGCGCTAGGCTGCTTTCAGCTTTCGGGATGCGCTCGATAAACCAGCGCTCTTCCTTAGATGTCCTCGTTGACAGATAGTTCGCTGCGTGCGAAGATCGCACCTCTACAAGATACCACCCTAAGGCGGTCATCTTGAGGTCTTCCGAAACCAGTAAGGTAACGACCTGATGATCTTCCTAGCCGCTTCTGAATATTATTAGTTGCAGTTACTGTAGTTTTAATATGGTTTTATTGCAAATAATAGCACTGTTGCCAGCATCACCACACTATCTATCATACTATCTACTGCTTACCACAATCTGCCTAGGCGATTTACAGCTCTCGGCCCGTGCTGGCTGCGAGGTGCTCGCCAGGTGGTGCCTGTTTCGCGGGCACACGTTTCGCGCAAGCGCCCAGTGGCTGCGTTGGGACGGGAAAGGCTCACAGAAGGCCAAGCCCAGCGGAGAAAGCGGCGAGACATCCTGAGACTCTGCGAACATCTGCCGCGCATTTTGTCCCGAGCGACGCAGGATCCCGTGGAGGAGTGTTCTGACGCAGAGGCGCCCCCCGCTGCCGGCAGAAAGGGTGAAGAGTGCCACAACTTAGCTTCACGATTTGTCTGGGTCTCGCAGCGTTGACAGTTGGGTGGGTATTTGTGTGACCTTTCTTGGCGGAAGTCAAGATGAAACCATGGCAAAACTAACATTTTTGTGTCGCCTTTTGGCTCAATTGTCATCCTGGCGGAAGGCTCAGTCGAAATGTTCAAACCGGGACACTCGATTTGGACCCCCAAAATGGATGTTGCTGTTGGTTCCCCTTCAAACCCAGAACAAAGAGCGAGGTACCTCCGAAGACACGCATCAAGGACACCCATTTTGGATTCGAATCCCGAGCGGAACACTCAAATGGGGATGTCTCATGGAATAGGTAATCCAAGCCTGGATGCTTTCTTGGGAAGCCTTGGAGGTTTTCCTTGACACTGGGAGGAATTGGTTTTCCCAAATGTCTTGCTGGTGCGATAGGCAGGGAATGATGGAATGACTAAACCATCCCCGATTTGGCTTCCTTTTCGGGAATCTGCAGGAATTCATTCCAGGGGGAGGGGGGTGACCCCTGGAATTCCATTTGTGGTTTTATTTTCCCTTTTATGGGGAGACTAGATCAATGGAATTGGGGACCCCCCCACCCCCCTTCCCCTTAGAGGGATGCACCAGCTAGATAGCCAAGTTGCGATCGTTTTTTTCAGTCACTGCTGCTGGTTTTTGGGGTAAAGTGCATGGGAAAAAAGGAGAAGAAACAAAGCGATCGCAACTGGCGATCCAGGCAGCTCTAGATCAATGGAATTGGGGACCCCCCCACCCCCTTCCCCTTAAGGTAGGGGGGATGCACCAGCTAGATAGCCAAGTTGCGATCGCTTTTTGCAGTCACTGTTGCTGGTTTTCGGGCCAAAGTGCATGGGGGAGAAAAAAGAACGATCGCAACTGGCGATCCAGGCAGCCCTAGATCAATGGAATTGGGAACCCCCCACCCCCCTTCCCCTTAAGGTAGGGGGGATGCACCAGCTAGATAGCCAAGTTGCGATCGCTTTTTGCAGTCACTGTTGCTGGTTTTTGGGCTAAAGTGCATGGAGAAAAAGAAGAAAAGAAACGATCGCAACTGGCGATCCAGGTCGTTCCTTTTTTTGAGTTGGCACCTTTAAATTTGGCCTTGAAGGGGATTCCCCCATTAACATAGGGGGGGATGCCCCAGCCAGATTTTCAGACACCCAACTTGGTCCCACCGACGTCCGAGTCCTTTTCGGGATTGACGCGAAGGCGGCGCCCTGCACGCCGCCCGTGGCAGGCAAGTCGAGCGATTGACGCTTGCTCAAGGCCTTTGGACTTGCAAGCGATTTTTTTTGCAAGAGGGGACACCTATGGATGTAAGGTCTTGGGAGAATTCAGGATTCCAGCGAACTTTTCTGACATGGCTGTGGTGGTCAAAACTGTTTTGGCCCCATTTTGGTTGGATTGGGTGAATTCACCACCCATTCTATAGGCTTTATTTTAGTGGGGATGGGGATGTTCGCTGGGGGTACGACTTGGCTTTTGACCCATGGCCACGTGTGGGTGTGTGTGTGTGTTTTGTGATTGCCCCCCCCAAAAGAAAAGAGGAAGAAACTGGTTTTCCTTCTGGTTTCTTTTGAAAGCCATCCAAAAGGATTGTATTGACTCAAACCAACACACACCCAACGTTCCACTCGATTTTTACATTTGGGCTTGACTTGGACCCGCCATTCGGCCTGTCTTTCCCCACATGCGAAAAAAACCACGCTTGATAGGCCGAATTGCAGCTCTGGGCGCCCTGTCTGGAGGCCTGGTCCTTTCAATCTTGGCAATGCGGATCGACGCCTTCTTAATCAAGGGGGTTGATCTCAATGGGTTGATCTCAATACTCCATGTGGGGCCCCCCCAGCTTTGACCATGGCGAGCTGTTTTTCCCATGCGAGAAATCTCCAAATGTCTTTGGCTTACTGCTTTTTCCCCAATTGGTCAGGAAAAATTGCGGACCTCAACGGTCAACTCTGAATTCTTGACGCATCTCTGGGTCTTTGACTCCGATCGCTCCACTTCCAGGCCGCGAGGTGGACGAAGACCACGAGCTGTGCCTGGAGGACACCCTGCCGGTGCGCGGCTCTGCGTTCGGCACGCGAGACCTTCGCGTGAGCGTCGGAGAGCTGTGGCTTTGGGGCAACCCCCTGGCAAATAGAACTAAGGACTAAAACCTGCGGTCCAATTCCTTTTTTCTATGTATATATATATATATATTTGACCCATACCCATGGCTGCAGGTGAGCGACGGTTTTTTGGAGGTGTCCAAGAGGACCGATGAATTTTTCCGGCCACGGATTTCAAGCCAATTAGAAGCGGTTGGACGGATTTCAATCCCCAGGTGCATTCCGGGCCTCCAAGATGAAAACAAGAAACAGACCCGTCAGCAAGCGGCATTCCGAAGTGGCTTCCGCGTTTTTCGCTTCGCCTCGCGTCGCCAGGGCGAGGTGGCGCCACAGAATCTCCAGGACGGATGTGGCCGAAGATCCGATCCCTGCTGATCTCGCACGGCAGGAGGCGCTGGATGCCGAGCTGGACGAGGCCGTGAAGTCAGTCCAACACTGCGGCGAGAAATGGGTGCGTCTTTTTTTAGGGGGCACCCTGGAAAAATGGCTCAGCGGTCGTTCTTTTGGTTTCCCTTAAAACCAAATTTCAAGGTACCAACTCAAATAAAGGAACCACACCCAAATCAAGGCTGGTGACACGGGTCGCCTCATGACTCAGGATTCCTTGCCACGCGACCTCGACGCAGAGGACATCTCTGGGCCTGAAACACGCCTTTTTCGCGCAACGCGGTCCACAGACAAAGGGCTGTGGGTCAAAACCAATGGGATCCCATTTTGGGGTACGTGAGTTCACCCATTTTAGTCTATAGTGTGGATTGGGATGTTCACTGGAATACGGGGTTTTGACCCATGGCCAAAGTGCTAGCAGCGATCCCGGTCGACAACTTGACCAATGTTTGTAGGGAACCTCGGCACACAAATCGCCGGCAGTGCCGGTTTTTCAGTCAGTCCGGTTTGCGGATTCCGGCGAGGAGCTGCTAGAGCAGGTGGAGGCGGACTGTTCCGGCAGCCGAGAAGTCGCATGATCAGATGTGAATGGAGATAAGGAGGCACCCCGTCCTCTGAAAGAAGCACATGACCAAAACGGATGCCTTGATCGACAAGTTCAAATCTCACTGCACCAAATGAATGCTGATTTTGGTGCATATGGATAGTGGACGGGCGTAAAGCTGAGTCTTACCCAGACATCCTCTCATTTAAATATGCCTGGGTGCGTTTTTTTTTTTTAAATGTTCAGGGGAGCCCCAACGCCTCGTACGATGTAAACCCTTTCGAGGTCCCAAAAGCTTGCAGCGCTTGCAGTGCGGCTTCAGGCCTCTGATGCCTCGCAGGAAGGTGACCCAGACTTGCTTGTGGGCCGTCTTACACATGGCTCGCAAAAATGAAATCCCCCAAAATGGCGCCCTGGACGGGAAAGAAAAAAAAGAAGAGACACTTGTCTGCTTCTTTCCCTAGCTCTTGATCCTTGAGCCATGTCGGTTTCCTCCCTGAAAATTGCCGCCTTCGAACAATGCCCGGTGCGGGCAGCTTGGAGAGCACCACAAAGAGTTTGGAGAGTGAAGCTGATGCTAGCTAAGTGAGGTCTCATATTCGATAGCCCTTCAGTTGCAACTCACGGACTGCATGCGACGAGGCTTAAACTTCTTTACGGCATAGAAACCGTCCATTTGACGCGAGCGCTCCAAGCCAAAGTAAATGCTTTCCAACTGAGGGGGTTGAGGCGCGTTCTAGGTCTGACATGGTCTGACCACTACTTTCGTTAACAGGGCTAACACCAATCAATTCGTCTTGCAGAAGGCAAATGAGGAGTCCGGAGTGTTGAGTGGGGAGGCTCCTAGGATAAAGCCCTTTTCCGAATTAGCAGGGCACATTCTCAGAAGTAATAACAATGACCGTCTTAGACAAGTCAGTTACCAGTCCGACTCCGCATAAAACTTTGCTATCGGGAAAAGACGGATTGGTGGACCCCGACAACAGTGGCTCTTCTTCACTAATAAGTTCATTTGGGTATGGGTCAAAATTAATCCACCAGAGGACCGCAGATTTTAGTCCATATTCCACTTGCCAGGGTTCCATTTTGGGTACCTATTTTTGACCCACAGCCATTTGGAAAAAGGTGGGAAGAGGCCAGAATGAAAACACTAGTAGCCAAAACCCAAGAAATGTTTGAAGCAGCGAATCGCGACTCAGTTTTGAGAGTCGCCTTCGCACGCCTAGAAGCTCACTTTGATGCCTGCGGGCATGAGACCGTGGCTTGAATTTAGATGAGCGGCATTCAAGGTTTCAATGTGGCCAGATGTGGTCAGATTTTGATGATTGACCGGAATCAACGTGAAAGATGAACATGAGATTCTCGCAAATCATTTCATATCAACAAAAAGGACATTTGGTCTCCCGAAGACCACAACCAAGACTTTGCGCATTCGCTCCACTTTGAGAAAAGAAAGATCACACATATTTTTGCGCATTCACCCAAGTGGGCGGGACTTTGCTGGCCAGGTGCCCTTGCACCAGAAGAGTGGGAAAGCTGGTCCCGACAAGAGCGCGAGATGTCGCGAGCTAAGGGCACAGGGTCTCATCAAATGGGGTTGCATAATGGGAACTGGGAACATACCCGAAATGGGTTTCTCTTTGTCCCAAGTTCAGGGCTCCTTAAAAGATCTCCATTTTGCCCATTTGAAACATGGCTTTTTCCACCAAAAAAATGGAAACCACCATTTACAGGGTAATGTTCAGGTGTATAATGTAAGGATCCCTGCCAAGCCACATTCCGGGTTTCCGAACATGCTCTCTGGAGTTCATGCCCTCTCTGAGGTGGGAGCGCATCAGGCCGGGCAGTTTTCAGCGCCTACGAGCCTCCAGCTGACTTGGCGACCTTGCCCTCTGCATCTCTCTCAGGCCACGGCATGTGCGCAGAGAGGCTCAGCAGGCACTGAGCGTCACAGGGGCACCCGTTGCTGCGTTTCAAAGCGCAGTCTCGTAGACACCAAGCCCACGCTTCTGGGGCACGACAATCTGTGTAATGTCGACTTCCACATTAATTTAATAAGGGCCCCCCACCTGTGTTTGTTGTTTTCCGGGACAAAGTTCCCAATCAATATGTTTGTTTCGTTGTACTACTGCTTGTAGTACTTGTAGTACTGCTTGTAGGACTTGTAGTACTGCTTGTAGTGCTACTTGTAGTACTTGTAGTACTTGTAGTACTTGTTGTACTGCGTTTGGTACTTGTTAGTACTGCTTGTAGCACTGCTTGAAGTACTTGTAGTTTTGTTCTCCCATGTTCAGCAAATCTGACCTCTGAAGACTGCTGAATACTGCAATGGCTGCAGTGTCCATTTGGCACATGTGTGTAGACGGGTGTTTGAAGATTGGCATTGTTGTTTGCAGATGTTCATTCGTGTGAGTTGTTTGGTGTCCTCTATGAATTGGGGTCCTGCGGGGTCGGCCTGGGAGAAAGATTTTGTTTTTGCCAATTAGCTTTCGAATGGACCGCTGCTTAATTTCTTGGCCGGGCCATTTCTATTATTGCGGACCCTTTATGAAGCTTAAGTGGACATTAGCATGGAGCCCGTTTCTTAGACGACCCTGTGTAATTTGGGGAGTTCCCATCGATGCAATGCAAAACCCATGCGCTTTGCGCCAGGTGCAATCTTTGCGGCTGCCAGGAGCCGTGCGGGCCCCTGTGGAGTGGGAGCGGTTGGTGGTCCGGGGAAGCTTGTCCACCACTCCGCGTGGCGTCAAGATGCCTCTTGGTTTGTTCTCTTATTTAGTTGTTGCTGTTCAAGTTCATTTTTTGCGCTGTTCCTTTGTATTAAATGTTGAATTGCTCTTTTTGTTTAAGATGCCTTTCAAACGACGAGGGTCGTCCAACAAGCCTGATGCATGGTCTGTTTCTTCCAGACGCGCACGCCGAGGTTGTGACGCGGCTCATGCGGCTGCACCCACAACTGCAAGCAAAGACCGCAGAGGCGCCTTGTCAAACCTTAGAGCCTCCGGCTCAGTCCGCCGACATTGACCTATGCCTTTTCTCCTGCTTCCTCTCTCTCTCTCTCTCTCTTTTCTACTCCCCCGCGTGTTCCCTCGTCCTCTCTCCCTCAATGTCGGCGGACTTTCAAGCGAAAGTCAGTGTTTGAACTCGAACGGCTCAACAATGGCAATGGAGTGGTTTGATGTCTTCCTTTCTCAGTCATGGATGATAATGTAGCAGTTGGATGTTCACCCAAAGGCTCTCTGGCGGTTGGATCACATTTAGGCAATCGAGCAGTTTGCCTAGCTTGCAAGTCACACTTGACTGTTGCCAGAGCGGATGGGATGCCAACGTTCAAGATGACAGGGACTAAGACCCTTGCTTCCAAACAGACCACAAGGTGTTGTTGATATTACGTTCTGAGCATGACACATTGATGCAGACAATTGTGTGTATGTGCTGTGTGTATGTGTTGCGTGTGTGTGTTCATGCCTGTGTGTATGTGTGCGTATTTCAAAAAAAGTTTGTTTGTGAGTCTCCGTGTTGATTTCTTTTACCGGTTTCATGTTTGAGCCTTATCGCAAGCGGCTAATTGTAGCGTGCGCTTCAAACTGGAGCTGAAGGCGTGCCATTTTGGAGGCAGTTTGTGCTGCTATTGCTTTTGCTTTTTGTCTCTTTTTTTTTGAGGGGGGGGGGGAGACGCACATGCCACAGGACTCTGCCAGACTGGTCACCTGCTTGATTCTGTGTGGCTGGTTGAAACCGCGCAAGCTGATGCATTCGCTGTGACGTTGAGTTTTTGAGGGTGAATACTAGGGACACCGCAACCATTTTTATAGGGTTTCCAACCATTGTTTGGGGGATATCCTCCGCATTTGAGGCATACACCCGACAACAGCACCTCTTTTTTGTATGTGTTTTCAACGGAACTTTTTGGGGTGTCGTGTTTTTTTGAGGCGAAGGGTACCCTTCTTGGGGTTTAGCTGTCCAAAGAGAAACCATAACCGGAAAATGACCCCCCTCCTTTTTTTTGGGGGGGGGGAACCGATTCCTGCGCCGATTTTGAGAGAGAGCGAGCCATTTGCGCGCCTGCGCGCAGGTCATGGAGGTCTTGAACCTGGCCACGGTCCTTTTGTTGCAGGCCACAGCCGATTCGATTTGCTAAGCTGACGGTGGGGCAAGGCGGTCGAAAAGGGCACTTCAGGGCTGAAAAGCTGTCAAACATTTGTTAAGCAGCTTTGGCGCAAGGTTCCGTGGCGTCAATATATGTCTGTGTCCTCTTTTTGAGTTGGAACCCCTTTCTTGGCTGGGGTTGAAGGAAGACCAAAAGGCAAGCCACTGTCTTTCTTCTTTTTTTTTCGGGTTGGAAAGGTCCCCCCTCAGGCCTGCCCATTTCAGGGTCCTCAGCCTTGTCGCCCAGTCGAGGCCGTGGTGAAGGCCGCTGCTCGTGGCAAAGCTCCAGGCGTCAGTTTGTTTTGTTTTTTTTGCTGTGGGTTGGACAACATTGGGTATGTCTCGGAGATGTTTGGAACCCCCAAAAATCCGGATGTTGCGTCGTTCCTTCTGGATTTTTGCGGGGGCTCCTTATGGAATTTTCGGGCGTTCCTGTTTGTTTCCCTCTGCCAAGCAATGTTTGTGGACGCATCACGACGCATCGAACAGGCCAGCGCACCTCCTTCGAGGACGTGGTGCGGATAAATTTTGCCAAGGGGACGTCGGACGTCCGGTGGATCATGTCTGCCGCTCATCCGACGTGGCGACTCTGGCTCCAGCTGTGGGCTACTGCGAAGGTCTCAACGTGGCAACGTAGGAGCAGATGTACCTCAGACCTAAGATCTTTCATTGCCGCCTGGTTCATGAGCCATTTGCGACCGCCACAGTCTCCTGAAGATCAGGGACAGGCGGGTGAGGCTCAAGGGTCAAGGGTCCCACAGGTCCACGGCCCCAAGAGGCGCTCCTGCGCCAACCCGACGGCCAGGGTCGCGCAGAGGTGACTGCCATGCGGCTGCCGGGCATCCTAGATCGGTCAAGTCTGGTCAAGTCTTGGTTTGTCTTGGGAACCCAGCCAGTGGTGTCCCTTTTTGGTTTCCCTTGTCCGTAACATTTAGAAGGGAAGACCGCTTAAGCTAATATGTATCTTGTTTAGGAGACGCCAAATGGTGGTTCTCCTCTTGGTGTCCCTCTCAACCCAAGCCAAAAAGCGGTCCTTCAAAAAACCGGGCGCGGCCAAGTCGGGCTGAACTTCCATGAGGTTTGTGGGCAACGGTCGCTAGGCATGCAGCGCGGCAACATGCCGTGGAGAGGCTGCAGTCTGCAGGCGAAGCCGGGCGCCAGCCGACACTTCACTGGCGAATCGGCGCGTTGCATTGCTGTCTTTCTCCAATCTGATGCGGATTTTGGAGCAATGCAAGAACCAATGCATCAATTTCATTCAAGTTGCCTTTGTTTTCTGAGTTTGGAGCTGCTTTTGGGGCTGTTCCCTGTGCTCAGCCTGGTTCCCTTTGAGCTTTGAGCGGCCGCCTTTTTGCTTTCCGAGAGCCAGGCGACTTGAGATCTGCCCAGGCCGGGCATGGGAGAGGCATAGCGCTGGAATTCTGCGCATCGCTGTGGTCGCGCTCGATCTTTTGGTGCTCACTACAGCAGCTTCAAGCAACATGCCAGCCTTGGCGATCAGCACATCTTGAAACATCAAGCAGATTGGGAACTCTCTTGGCAACTCATGCTTGCCCTTACAGAAAAAAGCATGGTCTCCCAATCTAGAAGGAAGTTCCTTACAAAAGGGGTAGTTTCAACGGTGTGTTCGCAGCGGGGGGGTTCTCTGGAACCTCGGCCCTCACTTGCTGAGGTGAGGCCAGTCCCAGCCAGTGGCCCAGAGTTTGCCTGATGTGACCCTCGGTGCTGCGGTGTCGATGCGAAGGCGGAGCCCGTGACCTGGTCCACCCAGGAGGGGCCAGTGGGGGCACCTCGCATGGTTCCCATGTGCGGCCTAAACAGTCACTTGTGAGCAGTTAACAATTTGTGGTTGTAAACAATTCATTGCTTGAGGCAGTTTGCGTTTTCCGAATGCGGTGACGGCTGATGTGTTTTGGATGCCATGCTTATTTGCCGATCTTAGCGAGCTCACGGATTCGGGGTACAAGGAGTGATAGCCAAGGTCCTTTACGGGATCCAATTCGGAAAGCGAGTCCTTAGGGTCCATAGGAGTTGGGGTTAAAATAGTTGGGTGATTTGCAGAGCAGATGCCGAGCTGCCGGGGATGCTGGTGCTTGTTGTTGTTCTGATTCTTGCAGTTTTCGAGTCGCGAGCGCCTGTTGCAGATGATGCAGGGGAAGCTGGAGATGCTGGCTGGGCATGCGGGAGATGCCGTTTGGGCATGCGGGAGATGCCGTCTGGAGATATGAAGCTGGCTGGTGATCTGAGGGGATGCTGGCTGCCTGACACTTTGATGTTTGCAGAGATGTGGGGTTGATCAAAACGTCCGTGCTACATGGGATGACCATTGTGGGAAACCACCAAAACAGAATTGACTTTCCCAAGCGGGAAAAGTTACCCATGGTCATTTGGGGGCTAGGGGACCACCAAAATTTGTGGTTTTCCTTTTAGCTTCCTTCCAAACCACCAAGAAAGGGGGTACCGTCCAAAACAGACACCCTGAAGCAACTGTGACAATCACCTGGTGCGAAATGGACTATGGGGTACTTCAAGGGACTCTCTGGGCTTTTCCGGGTCAACATGATTCCTGGCCCGTGACCCCACGATGTGTGACCAAAGTGGCCCTGGATTGCTTCCCAATGCAGGACGTAAAGGTCCGCGCTGGCTCGGTGCCGCTGGGGGACCTAAATGGCAGAGCGCCTGTCAGAGGTGGCCATAAAACTGAGCTACTTCTGATAGCTTGTAACGTCAGAGGCGTCTTGAGGATGGCTTCTGGGGGCTAACAAGGGGTCTAAGCACCTCCTTAGCTACCAAGGGCCACTAGTGTTTGATTTTCCTGCCAGATTTCTTGGAATAAAGCTCCGGCGAAGGACGGTCGTTTCCGCCTTAGCGCCGGACTTGTCTGTGGAAGGTTGGCGCCGGCCAGAGTCATGCGGGAGGTCCGCCAGGCGGGGCGGAGACTCTGACCTTGAGAGCGGCCAGAGCGACCACTTGGAAATTTTCCTCTTTTTTTGCGGGTAGTTACACCTTGTTCCGGTGGTTTTCAAGGAAAACTAAAAGGAAGACCTGTTTTTTTGGGGGGGAGGGCATTTTGGTGGATTTGATTTGATTGAGGATTTGTCCTGCACATGTTGCGCTGCCGATCGGCCCATCGGCCCAGACCCACTTGCGCTGCCCAGTCTATACCGCATGTTACAAACACAGAGATCACTGGTCAGGCGTGTGTTTTGTTCCTCCCCCAAGCCCTGAAGCATTCTCCACTTGGCCCTTTTCACTCACTCGCAATGGCGGCTCCACGGGACCTCCTGGAGGCCGTAGGGAGACTGCATGTCTTGCTCCAAATCAGTCTGCTCGCTTGCCCGCGCTTTGCCTTGAACAGCTCGGTGTTTTGTTCGGCATGGCAAAAAATTGACCTCATGGCAGGGAGTTTTCACGGCCTTTGCACACCTGGCTTGCAGAGAATCATATCTGCGAGGAGGGCTGGCTGCTGAAGCGCAGCAAGAACTTGGGCGTCTGGCGCCGGCGGTGGGCCTCTCTTTGGCTGCCGCCCGCGACGTCCGCTGCGTCGGGTGGGCGGCTGCTCTTCTGCCCAAAGGCTCGCGACTACCGCGACCCCAGCGAGGTCTTCGAGCTGCGCCGGGTGCTGCGGGTGTCCGAGGCGCGCTGCTGCGGTTCGCGCGATCCGGCGAGTCCAGCAAGACGCTGTTGCTCTGGTGGTTTGGATCCATTGGAATCTGCACGCGGGCCTTCGAGGGTCCATGGGAAACCACCCAAACCGGCTCCAAGCCTCGGAGCGAAGCGGTTTTGCCTAGGATTCATTGAGGCCAGCGCGGAATTCACCGCTCGAACTCGCCAGGCGGAGGACCTGCAGCCCTACTGCATTCTGCTCCAGTACCAGGAGGGTAGATTACTGCGCCCCGTGGCTTTACAGGCAGCTGATGAGGCGACTTGGAGAGTTGGGATGCCAAGTGTTGGCTTGTCGGGAAGGCTCAGCGACCCTGAGGGTAGCAGCATATCCATGCCACAAAGGACAAACCTTTTGACTTGGTGTCAATATTCTTTAAATGTTGAGATGTGACTGCGTCAGGGGAGCATGCGGAGCTGGCTTTCGGCGCTGCTGCGGGCGATGTTGGTAGACCTCAGCCACCAGCCCGGCCCCGCACCTACGTTGCTAGCCTCCGAGCCCGAGTCGAGCGACAAAGTCCCGGACGCTGCTTGGGCGCCGGGGAAGGGGAAGGGCAAGGCGCCGGGGAACGAGTCGCCGGAAGAGAAGGGACTGGCACAGGCCAGCGCGAAGGGGAAAGGCCCAACGAAAGGCCCTGGCAAGGGCAAGGGTCCCAAGGGCCCTGCGAAGGGCCCTGGCAAGGGCCCTGGCAAGGGTCCCAAAGGCCCGGCCCTGCCGGGCCCCGGAAAGGGCCCTGGGAAGGGCGACGCAAAGGGCAAGGCCAAGGCGCCGAAGCTTCTCTTCGGCAAGCGCCTGAATCTCCGGGACTCTGGGGCGCTGCCGCAGACCGCGCGCGGTGAACCGCAGGAGCAAAGACGATGCAGAAACCAGAACCCCCCCCCCCGGTTTGTGGAGCGGGTTTCAGGGGAAACCAAACGGAAGCCCACGAGTTTGTGGGGTCCCCTAGTGTAAGACACATCCATGTAAGCCAAAATAGTGAGGGATTTAATCCCAGCCACAAACGGGTGCGGATATCCGCCCCATTCTGTACAAGGTCTTGGGTAGAGGTGTGCTTCAGAGAAAAAAGTGTGCGGCGACTTTGATTCCCTGTCGCGTAAGTAGGCATTTGCCATTGCGCAGTGGTTTGAACCTAGGCAATGTGTCACGTGACAGGCGCGTCCAACACCGCCCCTTCCCAAATTTGCAAAAACCGAACGGCAGAGTTCGAGCGAGCAGTTCGTCACGTCGATCAGAGGGGGGCCCTGGAGAGGGCTTGTCCTTCCTTTGTGGGCCCTGGGAGAGTCTCAGGGTTCACTTTGTGCACTGCTTGCCAATGTTCGCACTGACCTAAACGTGTTGAGATGCAAATAGTCACACAAGCGTGTTGGCTGGCATCTAGTCAACTTGGTTTCGTGCGGGCGTTTTTCTCCCGCAACTTACGAAACACTGCCCAGCCCATTTCAGGAGAACATCTTCCAGGGCCTGCTGAACGAGCGGGCGGGCCGCGCCCAGGAAGACATCGACACGCTGAAGTCGCTCTTCATGCAGCCCAAAGAGGAGCCCAGCAGCCTAGGCAGCGGACGCAGCGGCCGCAGCAGCGGCCGAGCCGCTGGCACGCCCCGCACGGTGTTCCCAGACTCGGTGGCGAGGACGGAGGTGAATTTGCAATTGACACACGCACGGAAGCGCGACCTTGTTGGTGAAGCCAGGCTGAATCAATCTCGGAATATCCAGCTTGAGCCCTGTTGAAGATCTGACGGAGAAGCCCCGAAACTCGTGAACTGTTCAATCCAACCTGACCTTTTTCAGCTATTGCCAGCTCCAGGTAGCTTTGCAGCCGGTTGGTAAGAGCAGATTTTCTCTTGGTCCCAAGTGTGGGAAAGTTGCACTGCCTAATGCTGCGTAATCGGCCACCCGCCCCTCAGCTGCAGCGTACTCTCTTCATCTTTCCCAAGAGACCTATGATTGTGGCCAAGAAGATTCTGTTTCCCATCTTCCCCACAGCACTTTCAGCGCACTTTCGCTGCATTTTGCCTAGTGCATGATCCATTTCCAGAAGGATCTCGTTACCCCAAGAGTTCAAAAGGGAGGGAGCGTTTTGTCCTTGAGGGTGCCCTTTTTGTAGCTTCAAGGGGAATTCAAAGGAAGCCCATGCCACCGCGTTCCTCAAACAAGACCTCCAAGTCATCTTTCCAAACTCCATCCTCAAGTCAAACGTCGTTCTTGGACATCCCAAATCCTCTAAATTCGTTTTTGGACCTCCCAAATCCTCTATCTTGATTTATGTTATTTTACTTTTCAACCATCCTCTAAAAGTCGACCTCCGAAAAAGGAAGATGAACATCTCCGAGTCTTGAGGCCCAGTTGGGTGGGTGTCCGTTGCCGGTGTTCGGCGTGCGCGCTCGCGCGCGAGGAACTGCGCCATCGTGCTGCGGGGCTTGGCGCTGCAGGGCAAAGAGTTGGCGCAGGCGGTGGAGCTGTTGGAGCCGGGGCCGCTGGATCAGGCGACAGCTTTGGGGCTGCTTGGGGGGGGGGGGGGAGGTGGGGTGGGAGGTGGGGTGGGAGGTGGGGTGGGAGGTGGGGTGAGGTGGGGTGTTGGGGGTGGGGGGGTGGGGGGGAGGTGAGGTGGAAAGGCGGATCTTTCAGTTTTACCAGGATTTGTGCTTGGTTTTCTTTGCACGAAAGTTGCTGCAACCACTGTGCCCTGGTCACAGCATACTAGTTGCTCAGGGGGAGAAGTTTGGTCCGCTTCAATATGAACCCTGGAACGGTGCCAACAGTCGTTTGGTCGCGGTTCCAAACAAGGGGGCAACTCAAACACCGGTAACCCCATGCGGAGCCATAAAGGGAAAGTCCCATGTTCTTCTTTTCCTGGGGCGGTTTTGTTCTTGCATTCCCTGGCTGGCTGGCTGGTTGGTTAGTGTTTGGTCGGTCGTTAGGAAAAACCGAAAAAGCACCTCTCCCCATGTAGGGGCTTGATCAATTTTCTTGGCCCCCTTAATGACCAAGGAAAACTTGTCCCATGTTGTGGGAAAGAAGTTTTCCAACCAATGGTCCCAGGTTTACCGGACCTTTCGATCAACCCGCATGTCATCCCAGATCCATTTACCTGTGGGTTACCCATTTACCTTTAACCAAAGGAAAATTGCAGGTACCTGGGACCGCTGGGCATGGTGTTAGAAGCAGGTTTGGTAATCCGTTTGGTACCCAGCAATTTTCCGAGTGTTCAAAGGTGGCAAGCTCTTGGTTACCTGGTTACGTCTTCAAACGGCTTTACACCATTTAAGTTTTTAATCTCAGAGGTGGTTTCTGTTCTGTTTGGCTCCCATAGGGTGGGTTTGTTCTCTTCGGCCTTCCCATTTGGAGTTTGGTCGGAAATCAAGTCTCAGGGTGCTTGTACATACCCCTTTTCCATACCCCTTGGACAAATGAAACCAAAAGGCCTGCTGATGTTCATAACCCTCTCCCCAAAAGGGGTAATTACATACCCCTTATAAAGTGGGTAAACCACGGAAGCCAAGGGGTATGTACTTCCACCCTTAGAGTCGCTTCGGCGCTTCGACAGGACCAGCTGGAGCGCTTGGCCAAGGTCATGCCGGATGCCGCGCTCATGGCCCAGCTGAAGCTGGCGCCACTCGGACGGCCATTTTCGGCGGCAGAGGACGCGCGTGGCGCGTCTTTCTTTGGAGGAGACCCCCCCCCAAAAAAAAGAACAAGGGGAAAGAAGAACGAAATAGTAAACACGCAAAAAAGTGGGGTTCATGGTGGCTCAAACTCTTCCTTTTGGATTTGGACGCCCCAAAATATGGATGTTCAGCTTTCCTTCAAACCTTGTCTTTTCTGCGTGCTTTGGTTTCCCTGGAAAAAGATGTTCTCCCCTGGTTCCTTCAAGAGTTTCTACCCCCAAAATGGCCAGCTGGTTTTCCTTTTGCTTCCCCCAAGTCCAAGCAAAGAGTACCAACTCAAAAAGACCCAGAGAGAGAAACCTCACACGAGGTCCCGCCCCGTCCGATTTTCATCGTTTCCGGCTCCTCAGGTCTGCGCAGAAGGTGGCGCTGCGCGACGTGGAGACTGCGATGCTTCCCTTCGCGGAGCTGGGAAGGCTGCAGGAGTCGAGTCGGCTCGGCATCCGGGATGGCCAGAGGGAATGTGGGGGTTCCGTTGTTTGGGTTGGAACCCTTTGGTAGGTGTTTAAAGGGAAACCAAAAGGATTGAACACTAAACGTTCGCCATTTAGGGGTGATCCTGAGGGGATTGAACACCGGTTAGACATTTTGAGGTTCA